ATAAAAGTGTAGTCTTATTCTCTAGTTATTTAGTGATATTTCCCACACATCTCTAAGCAGTTGACCAATCACGACAGAGCCGGCCAGCTAACCAATCAGAGCAGACTGGGCTCTGGTTTCAGACAGAGGGTGAAAAGAGGTGCTGCCTGGAGACATGTCACAGTAGGGACACTAAATAAAAACGTGGCCCTGGAAATGAGGATGATAGGGCCCCTTTAAACCGTTCCAATGCAGCACAAATGTAGATATTTAACGAAGCTTTCTTCTGCAACACTACCCTCAGTCTCCCCTTACACAAAGGGGGAAAGAGCGTATAACTGGAAACATGAGAGACAGTGAAAATGAGACAGAACAAATGTGAGAGTAAACAACAGAGTCTGAGTGCATGTGGGCATGAGAGAGGGGTAGAACATGACGCTAGCTGTGAATATGTACTTCACACCTCACACACATAACTCAGCCCTCTGCATGCAGCGGCTGTCAGGAGCCGGCATATATCTTCGCTGCATCCACGCTGAAAAATCTTACAAATGTCAGCTCGAATGAACAAACACCTTTTTTAAAAGCCTTATGGTGGTGCTTCACAATCCCAACAGTCATGCTTATTTAGGCAAATGTCAAAGTGTTGTTTGGAAATTCCTCATTTAACTCGCATTGACTGCTTCCACTGATACGCAGGAGGGTTTACTTTAACAATGCAATGTAAAACATGAAATCTGAGTATCAGAAAATAACCGTATAACTTGCGGTTTCTTCTGGATCACCTCAATATCAAATGCACTGCCAGTAAATACAATAAAAAAGTAGATATATAATCTGAGCTGACAGAAAATGCTCCGTTTTAGTTTAATACAAACAGTGAAACTCAGAAACACTATTTTATAAACCTATGGGTTCACCTACAGAATTAAAACAAGAACAAATGAAACAAAGAAAGAGAAAATCATAATGCAGATTCAGCCATTTTGTATACAACTGTAAGCAGGGCCGTCCCTCCCTACAGGCCGATCATGCAGACTGCATGGGGCCTCACCTCGCGGAGGGGGCCTCACCTCGCGGAGGGGGCCTCACCTCGCGGAGGGGGCCTCACCTCGCGGAGGGGGCCTCACCTCGCGGAGGGGGCCTCATCTCGCGGAGGGGGCCTCATCTCGCGGAGGGGGCCTCATCTTGCGGAGGGGGCCTCAACTGAGCCGAAAATGCGGCGCAATTAGTGTGGCGCGGCACGGTTTCCACTAGCACCCCCCAAAAACCCACCCACCCCCGTCGACGCTCGCGAAACAGAGGGCCTCATCATATAACTTTGCGTGGGGCCTCATGTTGGCCAGGGACGGCCCCGACTGTAAGGGAATACCTTTTATTGTTTCCTGATTACGTAAACCCTGTTACATGTAATCCGTAACTCCCCAATACTGCTGGTATTGTTTACTCTACTCTACTGTGTATAAAGATGTGAATTGTTTTCTCATAGGTCTGTTTTAGAATATTTGGGTCAGTATTCCAAAACTCCTACAAGCCGACTTCATATTAATGTTAAAAAGGTGACTCTCAGTCTACTTGAACTCCTACTCTTATGTTCAGGGATGTATCCGTTTTTAGCTTCCGTTCTTTTGGATAATTGTGTTGATTTTTTTCTTTCAGACCCAGCTCCTCTAGACTTCCCTGATTTTAAATCCAAGCACACAGCCTTGCTCTGAGCCACGCTGTCCTGTAGCAGAAACAGCTGTTTGCATTCATCTTTAATGCACGCCCACATTGGCTCGCCATTGAAACGGATGAAAATGAGGAGAATCACCTCGATCCCCTGATTTAAGCTGTTTAAAGTCCCCGCTGTTTGAGAATGTCAAACGTCTCATTCGCCGGAGTGCACCACTTGAAAATGTTATAGGTTAGAAAAATGAAAACAGCCAGAGCAGTTAAGACAAGTTCATTTTTTCAGCGTGGCATTTATGGGCTATATAAACTACAGAAAACCGGTAAGATGTGGAAAAACAATGTGTTTACAATGGAGCTGTGCAATATGGTAAAGATTAATATCCCAATAATATTCCCAATATAATCATGATTTCTATATGCACCATTTGGCAGAGAAATGTATGCAAAACATCGACTGATTTTCTCACAACATTGTTATCAGCTCCCTTAAAGGTGGGGTAGGTCATTTTGGAGAAACCAGCTCGAGTGCGCTAGAATTTGAAAATACACAGCCGGAAGAAATCTGCCACTTCCTCACAGAGCCCCTCCTCCAACACACACGAACGCGCACATGACCAATGAGGGCACGAGATAAGTTTGTGCACAGATGGAAGGCTGACAGGCAGGTAGGCCATCCAGTTACTTTAGCCGGGCCGGCTCAGATGATTGGTCGTGCTTTTTACAGAGCCACGGCTTCCAGAGATGATATTTTTTTAATGGATTTATTGTCAAAGCACTTGAGATATTCATTGCTATCGGGATGTTAAGAGCATTCCATGGAATATAACAACAAGTGTATCTCGAGCTGGTTTCTCAAACTTACCTACCCCACCTTTAAAGTGAATTAACATAATCACATATATTGCCACTCCAAATGTTTTATTTTATCTTGGCTGTAATAGGCTCACATTTGGAGATATTGTTAAACTTGTCAGTGATGTAGAGTTGTAGCTATTCTTTGAACTGTGGTACAGTCATTGTTTACATCAAACAATACTCTTTAGACACGTAAAAAGATTATGTCATGACCGATTTCTCTTAGTTTCCATCTACAATTTGCCTTTACAAAGTAATCTGCACATTGGGATTTAGTCGAACAATAACACAATGTTTATATCATCATAATCATATAGTAATGCTATTTTGTAATAATAATCTATTCAGTTGCCTTGAGAGTGATAAGCAATAATCATCTGTTCTATTACGTTATGCTTTTAACATCAAATAAACATTGAAATGTGATTTTGGTGAGTTTATAACGACAATAGAGAGCCGTAAACAGCTGTGGTGATTTTGAGAAGCTCCTTTGGGTTTCACGTGTACAGTTGCAAGAAAAAGTATGTGAACCCTTTGGATTCTCCGCACATAGCGTTGTGTGTTCCTTCCAAACAACTCAACTTTGGTTTCATCTGTCCACAGAATATGTTGCCAGTAGTGCTGTGGAACATCCAGGTGCTCTTTTGCAAACTTCAAACGTGCAGCAATGTTTTTTCTGGACAGCAGTGGCTTCCTCCGTGGTGTCCTCCCATGAACTCCATTCTTGTTCAGTGTTTTACGTATCGTAGATTCGTCAACAGAGATGTTAGCATGTGCCAGAGATTTCTTTAAGTCTCCAGCTGACACTCTAGGATTCTTCTTCCCCTCATTGAGCATTCTGCGCTGTGCTCTTGCAGTCATCTTTACAGGACGGCCACTCCTAGGGAGAGTAGCAACAGTGCTGAACTTTCTCCATTTATAGACACTTTGTCTTACCGTAGACTGATGAACATCAAGGCTTTTAGTGATACCTTTGTAACCCTTTCCAGCTTTATGCAAGTCAACCATTCTTAATCGTAGGTCTTCTGAGAGCTCTTTTGTGCGAGGCATGGTTCACATCTGGCAATGCTTCTTAAGAATAGCAAATTCAAAACTGGTGTGTATTTTTTATAGGGCAGGGCAGCTTTAACCAACACCTCCAATCTCGTCTCATTGATTGGACTCCAGGTTGGCTGACTCCTGACTCCAATTAGCTCTTGAAGAAGTCTTTAGCCTAGGGGTTCACATACGTTTTCCACCCTGCACTGTGAATGTTTACATGGTGTGTTCAATAAAAACATGAAAACATATAATTGTTTGTGTGCTATTAGTTTAAGCAGACTGTGTTTGTCTATTGTTGTGACTTAGATGAAGATCAGAACACATTTTATGACCAACTTATGCAGAAATCCAGGTCATTCCAAAGGGTTCTTGCAATTTGCTTCTCACCTTGTTCCATCACTTTCATATTATTTGTCTGCAAAACGTACTCAGGTGGAATAAGCTGAAATGTAAACACCATAAGCTGCTATGCTGCCCTGCACAGAAGAGCAATGCTGCTGTCAATATGGCTGCGGGATTACGATTGTTGTGCTTGGCGACTGCTGTCTACATCACCAAAGTGTGAAAAGCAATAACACCACAAAGTGCAAGTGTTGGCGGTCAATATTTTCTCTCCCTGATAAACCCTCCGGGCAGGAGCGTCACGTCGTCTAGCCAACACAATCACAGCTTTGCAGTTTCAATCTGTCACAGTGTGTGAATATGGAGCCGGAGCGAAAGAAAATAAAAAAACATCAACTCTTGTCTTACCTCAGTTCCACAAAGGAATCATCCAAATGTGAAGTTAAAGGATTACGTGAGCGGCGGTTCTAGACCAATTTGACTGGGGGGCCAGTTATTTTCTGAGGGGGGCACAATAAATGCAGGACGAAAAAGAGAACTAGACAGTATGAAGTAATTGCGCATAAGAAAACAATGCAATACAGTTATTGGTATTTGTTTCAGTACACTTATTTATTTCAGATAGATCTTATAGTTATTACTGTTAGCTTAAGTTATAGTGCAATGTTTGCCCTAACACCATATTTATATAAAAATAAAGGCAATGAACAGTTACATCTCTACTTTACATAAGGGTGTCTGCACAATATCACATTACAGCAACACAATCCTGCGGTTTTTGGCAAACCGAGTACCAGAAAATATACATTTAAAAAAAAAAATAATAATAATAACTTTTCATTGTTAGGGGGGGCCCTGCCCCCCCTGCCCCCCCTAGAACCGCCCCTGCGTGAGCGTCAACAGGGTTAAAAAACAGCTCCCTGCTAAATGCAAATTAGTCTTCACGGCTGCCGCGCTGTGACTTTTATTCAGTTCACCTTTTTCTAATGTCACTTCTCAACGGGAGAACATTTTACGAGAAAAACAATCTCAAGGAGCAAGTGCGAACGAGGCACAGAAGAATATTTCAGCACATTGCTCTGATGCAAAAAGACAGAGGAGGAGATTACCTTGTAGAAGTCAGATGTGTTTGAAAGTCTGCAGCTTGACCTGAACGGGGTACAAGAACACGTCTGCCTCAGCTGTATCTGGGAGAAACAAAGAGAGAAGATATCCCATGGTTATCTCACAGCTTGGAGACTTTTCAGAGTAACATATGATGATCACATCATTTACAGCCTCTAACCATATGCACCATTACACTGTGAGCAGCTCATATTGATGCAAACACAGGAGTGCGTGGGAAACAGGGATTTACAAAGTTTGTACACATGCGGTGCTAAGTTAAAACACCCACACACTGATGCACACAAACACACAGTCGACAAGCCTGCAATTCCCCAAGCAGCTGCAGACTCGGCTACCCTGTGGCTTACTTTCTCAAGATGAATCTCCAGAGCCCCCTAAGGAAAACAAGCGCTTTGCCAGGGATGTCCAGGAACGCTAACTGTCGCCGTCTCTCTCCATGTTCACACTCTGACGGCTGTGATGGGGAGTCGCGGCGCTCCCACACCGAGGCGGGGTAATTGGCTAGAGATGATGGGCCGTAAACATACATCACAGGGGCGGCCAAGCAGACAGCTCTCTTTCGTTTGCACACGTACACACATCGTCTTCCCACCTGAGGATATTGACGCTCTTTGAAGACATAAGCTAGCCCAACAATATTATTAACACATTATGCTCATTTTCAGCTTCACATTTGCAATTTGTGCCTCTAGTGTGGCGTTCAAAAAGTTATTTTTCTCATACTGCCTCTGCTGCAGCACCTCTTTTCACCCTCTGTCTGAAACCAGCTCTGTTGTGATTGGTCAACGTGTTAGAGATGTCACGCCCCTTACCATTTCATGTACAATGTGTTGTCTAATAGAAGTGCGAGTGTTACATAGTGATGTCGTTATGTTCAGGAAGTAAACAAAGGAGTCCAATCAAGGTGTTTCAGGTAAGTCCACAGGAAGAACGCTGATCGTTGAAGCAAATTATCCTAGTGGCCAAACGTTGGAACTACACTTATGCTAGTCAGTGACATCATGGACCCAAAAAATACTTTTTCCTGTTAACTGACATTGGGAAAGAGACGACTGTAAATCAAAGAATATATTTTTTGCTGAATACGAACACTTTCATAGCCTTTATTTTAAGGCGTGTGAAAATAGACACACGGCAGCTATTCGGCTATTTACACCCACCCCCACAACAACATAAACATCGTCACTTCATGCCGTAAAGCGACACGCCTACGCTCAAATGAAAGAGATGCATACAGTACAAAACCCGGGTGTAAATAGCTAAAGTGCTTAAGATAGGATGTGCCTTGAAAAACATTGGGATTTTAGCCTTTGCAGACCATTTACATGCACACAAACCTATATAACACACTACAGGACAGGTGAAACTCCAGAGAGCATAATACGTCCTCTTTGAAACACAGAGAAAAAGCCCCTGCCTTCGTTCAATCTATCACCTTTAAACCACAACTCTGCGCTGAGCTCTCCACTATTTTCCTCTGCGTCATGACCAAAACCCAGAGGATACTCTCCGCCGCCATTATCACCCACTGATATATAATAGGCACTACCCATTTAAAATGCATCATCACCATAACAGATAGGATGCCCTCTCTCTCACCATTACTACCATCACACAGTGGTGGATAATAGGCTATCCATTTCTGCAGTGCTATCACCACGGTGCAGACTTTCTTCCCATTTCCATAACACTTCTGTCATAATAAGCAGGGAGAGCCTTCCAGTCATGACCACAGCTCTCCGAGAGGAGGTCAGTCATGTCAGACTGTTTTCTCACACGCTGGTAATTGGCAGAAATAAGGCTGGGCTAGGAAATAGCGCCGGAGCTTCACTTTCTTCTCAGTGGTTAGCTGTGCGAGGCAGCATATTTCTGTGATCTAGTAGTGCTGGAGAGCCATATGACAAAAAAAGTATATATGAGATGTGGGAGACAGCGCCAGATAATTTGGTACACACAGTTGCCAATCTCATGATATCATAATGGATTTTTCCTCAGATAAAGAACCTATTCTGCATTCTCTAACATGGGATGAGGATTTCATCAATAAAAGCCACTTCATTCATCTAACCCCTTTTCTGGGTTTTCCAGTATTAGTTTGACACGTCTTGCATGACCAACCTAAAGACCCCTTCACTCTCGGCAGACTGAAACTTTGAGGGGGATTGTAAAAACCAATGGCGGGCAGTTGGAGGGACAGGGGGGGGGGGGTCCAGGCAATGCGCTCATTATTCAGGAAGACACTCGAGGCCACAGGATATAGCACACTTCATTTTTCTTGTCAAACTCGGGCTGACTTAATGGCGTGTTCACAGCGAGTGGTGAGACAAGGGGATGGTGTTGCCAGGCTGCGACGTGGAAGGAGTGCTGATCAAGATGGAGGCCGTCCTCTCGGAAAGGTGGACCACCTGAGATGCTAAAGCTGCTGAATGTGTTACAGCGGAAAATACACTATGGGCTATCTTTCAAAGAGGGAAAATGAAATATGGTCTCAATTATACTCTCACTGTAGAGCGGCACAGATGTTCTTATTGTTCCACCCATTCCACGTCCTCATAAACCTTCCCTCATTATTGCCTTCATTACCGGTGCCATCGATATAGCAGGCGGCTGCCATAAAACCTGGATGTATCCACAACTCATCATCCAAGCACTAATTAATCATCCGCCCGGCAATTACACACCTCCTTCCAAACCTGCCATTGATTTTGAACCCAGTGGTGCTTTTTTATTCTATTTCGATTGTGCGCCTGTGACTGAGGCCATGCAAAGCAATCTCCTCCTGCTCTATATATGCGCTGGACTGGAACTGTGTTTTGATCAGAGAGATGATGGGGCAGGTGTTGTGGTACACCGAGAAGCCTCATCCCCATCGCATTCACAATCTCTAGGCATGGCAGTGGGGCTGTGGTGTCAGACAGCCTCTTTTGTTTGACTCCTAATTGGGGTAATTTATTGTCCTAACAGGCGTAGCAGCTGTGGCTTTACAGCGTAGCACCAATTAAATCCAGATGCTAGAATGAAAAGATGGGGCTGTTCGTGACTCTGGGACCAATCATTAATATTAACTCTGCGAGATGAAAATGACAAGCTGTGATGAGAGATTCTTTCTCAACGCACCACCCTCCCATTGATATCGCAAATATTTCAATTTTTCGTCTGCCGCGCATCATTTCTAATAATGGATGTGATTATCTGCCAGATGAAACATTGAACACAAATATGCAGGGACACCAGGTCTGCACGGCAATTACGCCACAGGACTCTTGTCCTAGTTTCGCTGTTGTTAAGAGAAGTTTTCCTCCACATTATGGCGCTGACAGGGGATCAGGTGAGCGTGAGATATGGTGAATATAGGGGGCAACTAAAAGAAATCAGGTCGCTGTGAAGATTTCTCCAGGGCCAGGCTAACCTCGCAATACTGTGAATGGCCCGCCTGCCTCTTCAGGCCGGGCTCTTTAGACGAGAAGCCCCGGGGACAGACACAAATGTGAGTAACACAGAGGCAAGGGGAGGTCAAACCTCCGAGCTGAGGCTCACAGAGGAACCCGGGACACACAGTGGCTTTCAATTGGAAGGGAAACGTAATGAGGCAGCCCTGGCCAGATTCTGCTATTTATTTTTGTTCATTTGTCTCATCTGTGAAGTTTTAATGAAGTGTTTGTCCACTCAGACACTATTTGTTTTAAATGGAGGGTGTTTGTTGATGTAATGTGCACAGCCCAAGACAAGTTAAACATCCTAATGACTTATTTATTGTTGTACATTTCTCCCATACTGCTGTGAATCAACAGCTCAGGTATGATACACAAAACCGGTTTTAAAAGTCAGGACGCGTCTAAAAAGTGAGGCGAAGTTACCTCATAGGTTTTTACTTGTGCGAACAAGGCCACATCTGTGCGGAAGAGGATTAGGGCCAAATAAATTTTTTTTGGGAGGATTTTAAAATAATTTTTTTTTTTTTTTCTGAGAAAAAAGTCAGAATTCTGAGAAAAAAGTCAGAATTCGGACTTTTTTTTCTCATAACAAAAAAATACATTTTCTTTTCAAATCCTCCCAAAAAGAAAATCATGTGGCCCTAATCCTCTTCCGCACATCTGCTTAGTGGTACACGGCAACAAAGTATTTTTGTTACGGCACCGCAATCAAACTCAAAACACCTCACACCTCGGTTTGGCAAATGGATGGGTTTCAGAATGAATTTAACATAATAACGATTAAAATACACGTTTGTTAAGCTTTTCACGGCAACAATGTAGATTAAACATTATTATTTATTCATATTGGAACATCTATTTGATATGTTAGCTCACTCTTCATTAATGTTTGCCTTTTGTCCGCTATGTCACACCTGCAGGACCATTAAAGGATGTCTGATTCTTATTACCAAATGTTGTATTTGACATTAATAAACTATAACAATGACAATATATTTAATAAAGTACATTTTCACAAGACTCCGTTTCAAAATGAGTTTCCCTTTGTTTCAAAATAAAAATATTTGTACTAATAAATTACACAGTTTGTCTCTGATGATAAAGTGGGATTTTATTTTACAGTTTAACAGACATTACAAGCCAGATTACACAACCATCAAGATAGCGCTACGAGAAAGAATCCACTCAGGATACCTCCTGCTAGACTTGAGACACATATAGGCAAACGTATAAAGGAAGAAAGAAAACGGTTGTGATGAAGTTTGACACGACAGCATCTTCTGCTGGGCTCCAGTGAAGCAACACCTTCCCTCTGAGATGAGAGATGGAAGGAGTTCATGAACTTCCACATCTCTGAAGTGCCTTCCTTTATTCGAAATCCACTCTCTTCTGAATCCCATTACTTCCCCCATCGTTCAACTGACTCCAAAGACAGTGTAACATACCTGTTTGCTGTATCCTTGACAACAGTCTTTTCCCCGTCTCAGTCTCCCCGAAAGAGTTGAACTGTGTTTGAGAGCAAAGCGCTGTAAGCGGTCCGACTGCATGGCAGGAAACCTCTGCGCTTCATGAGGATAAAGAGCTCTGACCCAATTAGCTGTCTTTGTTAAATAAAACTCCACCGGCCTTCAATTAAACCGCCACATATCCCCCCCCCCCCCCCCCCCCTGCTTGTGTTTCTACAGTACAAAGTGATTACAGATTTAATTAGCTGAGGACCTTGCTTCAGGGAGACTCCCTAAATCCATATTGATATTTCTGTAAAGTTTGGTGATAGCGGGGAAAAAAATATATAATGAAAAGATGATTTGCAACTTTTGCCCCACTCCTGTTCCCCCGAGGCTAATCATTGTGTTGCAGACGATGCTGGGAGTTATGCGGAGAGCAAGGAGCTGATCAAAGTGGCTCACGGCTGTAAACAGGCCGGCTGTCAACAAACATGTTCGGATGATCTGCTACTAAGCTGCTGTAGATTCACTGCTTTCACTTTTTTTGTTTTTTTATTTGACAACATGATGAATGAAGAGAAATGTTCCCATCCCACCTGTTCTGTATACAGACAGCAATTGTAAAGTAACTAAGTGCATTTACTCAAGGTCTATACTTACGCACACAATTGAGGATCCTTACACATTTCCATGTTCATACTGTTAAAGTCAAATATTGTACTTTTTATTTAATTAAATGTATTGTACTGTTAAAGTCAAATATTGTACTTTTTATTTAATTAAATGTATTGTACTGTTAAAGTCAAATATTGTACTTTTTATTTAATTAAATGTATTGTATTGTTAAAGTCAAATATTGTACTTTTATTTAATTAAATGTATTGTACTGTTGAAGTCAAATATTGTACTTTTTATTTAATTAAATGTATTGTACTGTTAAAGTCAAATATTGTACTTTTTATTTAATTAAATGTATTGTACTGTTGAAGTCAAATATTGTGCTTTTTATTTAATTAAATGTATTGTACTGTTAAAGTCAAATATTGTACTTTTTATTTAATTAAATGTATTGTACTGTTAAAGTCAAATATTGTACTTTTTATTTAATTAAATGTATTGTATTGTTAAAGTCAAATATTGTACTTTTTATTTAATTAAATGTATTGTACTGTTGAAGTCAAATATTGTACTTTTTATTTAATTAAATGTATTGTACTGTTAAAGTCAAATATTGTGCTTTTTATTTAATTAAATGTATTGTACTGTTAAAGTCAAATATTGTACTTTTTATTTAATTAAATGTATTGTATTGTTAAAGTCAAATATTGTACTTTTTATTTAATTAAATGTATTGTACTGTTGAAGTCAAATATTGTACTTTTTATTTAGTTAAATGTATTGTACTGTTGAAGTCAAATATTGTACTTTTTATTTAATTAAATGTATTGTACTGTTGAAGTCAAATATTGTACTTTTTATTTAATTAAATGTATTGTACTGTTGAAGTCAAATATTGTACTTTTTATTTAATTAAATGTATTGTACTGTTAAAGTCAAATATTGTACTTTTTATTTAATTAAATGTATTGTACTGTTGAAGTCAAATATTGTACTTTTTATTTAATTAAATGTATTGTATTGTTAAAGTCAAATATTGTACTATTTACTCAATTAAATGTAATACCTTTAGTTGCTTTGCAGATTTGATAATAATAACAATAATTATAACAAGAATATTTAATTAAAAAATACATATATAATATAATAACAATAATAATAATATTTATTTAGGGTATTCCAAGTGCTCCAAGTTGATTTTCAAGCAAATAAAAAAACAAAAACCACATGATTTTGATTAATGATATTATATAATCAACATCTGGAGAATATTCCAGAAGTATATAAAGTGATTAAATTACCTCCACCTTTACCAGCTGCAACAAACTAATCAATGCATCAATAATTGTATTAAAAAATGTTTATTTATTATTCATAATACTATGAATTGGGCCAATACTCATAATGTGGACTTTTACTTGTACTTTCGATGCTAATAATTGGTTTTACTTTTATTAACTAAACTTTTAAATGCATGACTTTTACTCGTAACAAAGTATGGCATTCCTACTTTTAGAACAACATCTGAATACTCATTTCTTCAGCAGTGCTGAGAGTAATCCTGATGGAGTGGGAACACATGGCAATGAGTTTAAGCAATTAAAACACATTTTGATGGAAAATCAGTGTAACGGTTGAGAAAATATCCAACATTAATTGCATGGCTGTTAGAGGGGTCGAACGCCTGTGAAATTCAGACATGCTGCAACCGATTCATGGAAAGCAATTTCCCAATATTGACATCATTCCTAGAGATAGTGTTGAATTTGAAGTTAAAAAGTATGGCATGCCCTCAGGATGACCTTGCAAAAAGTGTGTTTGATTGTTCTTGAATCTCTCGGCCGTTTTTGGTTTTGTTTGCGGGATACTTATCTAAACAAAGACGTATGTGGATCACAACGAAAGAATACATTCTTTTTATAGCAGTCGGGTTTCAAGGACATATTTACAGAGCCACTTATAAGCCGCCATGTTCAAATATCGACATGGATAAATCCAAAGAACCCAAGGTAGAGATATCCATTGTAATACAACAGATAACAATGAAAAAACAACATTCTTAATAACAGATTCTCACTTCTTTCACTAAAATGTTTCATTTCTTAAACATAGAATCCAGCTGAGTATATGAAGTCCAGATGTCAAGAGGCATAAGTCACGTATATGCACCCAATGCATTCATTTCATATTTAAGATGAGAGTTCCCATAACAGCACATACAGGATCTTAAAGTGCATTCAGTAAAGAGCCGGTTTGAAAGGTTGAACACAATCTCTTTGGAATGACATTTTTTTTAAAGTAGCATGCCTTAGGTTTCTTTTAATAATAACTGTACTGAGCATACAGTACTGTGCAGATTGGGGGAGCTGGGAGGTAACGTGCTGGAGCCGGGGAGGAAATGAAAATGAAGGTGAATATGGTGAGGAGTGCGGAGGTGTCAGAGCTGCCCGTCAAACTCCCTGCATGTACTGAATATTTCACCAGCGACACACAGCAGCTTCCAGCCCAAACTGAACCCCTGGAGACAGGAAAGACGGATGGATGGAGGGATGGGTGGATATAGATAAATAGAGAGAGAGAGAGAGAGAGAGAATAGATAGATAGATAGATAGATAGATATATAGATAGACTGATATATGGATGGAAGGATTGCCCCCCCCTTTCTCCACCCATGTATACCTGTCTCAGGCTTCATCTCGCAGCCCTACATTTCTCGAGGCAGTCTGACAGGAGGAGTTCTCCACAGCTGACAGCCTTCCAGCTCCAACAGGGTCTGTGTGAAAGCCCAGCACAGACCAACAGACACCTGACCAGTGGACACGGAGAAACTGTGATGCTGAAAGTGTGCACCAGGTAGGGAAACTGCCCTTCTTCTGCTAGCGTAAGAAAATATACCAACAACACATATTCTACAGCATAGCTTGAATTACATGCAAACATCAGAATGCTAACATGCTTGAGATTATGTTCATGTCTAGCAAGTATAACGTTTGCTATGTTCATCAGCTTACGTTTTCTTGCTGATTTGCAATTCAACAACTCCCATTTATACAGAGTCAGAGACAAGGTCCTGCTCAGAAGACTAACATTGTTGGCCATGCTATTGGCAGCAACTTGGGGTTCAGTATCCAACCCTAGGACATTTTGACATTTTGACTGCAGGAGCTGGGGATTGATCCATTGACTTTCCATTTGGTGGACAACCGCTCTAACTGAAGGAATTGTTCCGAACTTCGACGTGATTGCAGTACTAGATGACAGGTAAAGGTATTTCAAGTCAGTACATTTCCTAATTTCTTGTCGCACCAATAGAACAATGTTGACATCCCTTGAGCCATGCAACTAGCCAACACCTTTTTCAACGTATTTATGTTGTAGATGCTTGACAAACAATGCTTGGTTTTCCAGCCACCAGTGCTAGTAATGTATTTATCCATCTCAGAAAAAACTCACACCTTTGTCAGTGAGCTGGTGTACATGTACTATTCAGACAAACACACACAGTGTACACCGATCCAAACCACAACCTGCCTCCGCTCAGCAAAGCCCCACTGAGATAATCACGCTCCTTTAATCGGATAACTCCACTCTCCTTAGAGAAGCAATCTCATAGCAAACACTGGACCTATTTTATCACTACAAGCAGCATATTCTTAGATTAATATCCTCACTTCGTCCAGCAGAATATCTTGCTTACGTATTACAAACTATTCTGAAGCAAAATCAATAAACACGGAGCTGACAAAACGCTTTTTGGAATTGTGATTCTTAAGGATTGCCACAGCACTGCACTTTTAAACTATAGACAGAGCTCTAAGAATAAAATGTTTTCTCGGAGAACTTGGGGTTAGGGTTCAAGATATACAATAGACCTGCTTTTATTTTTCCAAGGTTCTTGGCCACCAACACTGCCAGGCAAGGTGGTTTTTAAAATGCAACACCATGCAGTCGACTATCCAAGGCATGTGTTGCAATAAATTCATGGTTTCATTTTTTTGCAGCCTAATATTAAGTGCTATGTTATGATTTAAAGATTGCCATGTTGCACGGATCAATATGTCTGCATCGGATGAGCTAAGGTTTACAGGATCAGCAAGGGGAGGAGCAAATCCACTAAAGCGGTAAATCTGACCAGAAGCACTTACTTCCACTGCACATCCTATGGGCCATTATTTGAGCGTGTGCTCACACATCAAAGTGGAAAAAAGTCTTCAAGGCTAAAAAGGAATAAGAAACAAAGGACCATTAAATCAGAGTGAGAGGACCCCGCTTTGAGATACACACATGTGGGCACACACTTAAACACTGCAGTATGAGGACTGTGAAGGAGAGAGTTGAGGACCAAAACAGAACAGATAGAGATCAGAGGATGGGGAGAGAAAGGGAGCACAACATTGATTTTCCCCCTCTGAAGTGCCAGTTCATCATTCTGTGAGACACACTCTATCGATCCCGTGCCTTTAGTTTGTTTGTAATTTTGGGGACTCAAAACCATTCACAAAGATAGATCCTCTTATATGCCACCTGCTTCCGAGATGAAGAATGGAGGGATCGGAGAACGTGTGGAGATGACCTCATTTCGCTGGGTCCTCCTCACTCGGTTGGTTTTTGTGGGCCTGTTTAAAAAGGGAGCTTTGTGGTGGGGAGGGGGGCTGGATGCAGTCAACTGTGTTTATTAACATAATCCAGGTCTTGCCATTAATTACCCTCAATGCTTTTAACTAACATTAGTACTCAAAGACATTAAGTGGATCAGCTTAAGTATTTTCTTGAGGCTACACGAGGACATATTTTCCCAGAAAAATAAATGGTGGTTTGACTGAAACTGTGGCTGGATTGGTTTGGAAGAGGATTAGGAACTAGTGACTATTTCTTTAGATTTAATTCTGAGATAAAAGTCTTAGTTTTCAGAATTCTGAGATTAAAGTCAGAATATCGAGATTGAAGTCAAAATTCTAACAAAAAATTTGAATTCTGATGTTTTATTAATTATTATATAATTCTGACCTAAAGTAGAAAAAAATGTGTATTCTTACTTTTAAAACCATCATTCCAAGAAACAAAGTCAGAATTCATTTCTGGAAATCCTGACTTTAATCTAAAAAATCTGACGTTAAAGGTGGGGTAGGTCATTTTGGAGAAACCGGCTCGAGTGCGCTAGAATTTGAAAATACACAGCCGGAAATAATCTGCCACTTCCTCACAGAGCCCCTCCTCCAACACACACGAACGCGCACATGACCAATGAGGGCACGAGATAAGTTTGTGCCCAGATGGAAGGCTGACAGGCAGGTAGGCCATCCAGTTACTTTAGCCGGGCCGGCTCAGATGATTGGTCGTGCTTTTTACAATACCACGGCTTCCACAGATTACATTTAATTATGTATTTATTGTCAAAGCACTTAATGTATTTATTGCTATCGGGATGTTAAGAGCATTCCATGGAATATAACAAAAAGTGTATCTCGAGCCGGTTTCTCAAACTTACCTACCCCACCTTTAATATTCAAAGTATTAATTAAATACCTTGTTTTTGATTGCCACAAATCATTATTTTCATTCTCCCGTTCTCAATTGATGAACTAAAATAGTGTATGCCAAGTGTGATAAAAATGGAAAAAAAATACATACTATAATAATATATACTTGTGACCCTAATCCTTCTGTAGCTTGAAGGTGATTCTCCCATCCCTCCTAAATAATGTTAACAACTATCTTTCTTCTTACTCTGCCATCTCCTCTAAACACAGACAGTTTTCAGTAAACTAACTTCACATTACATAACTACTGAATTGAAGTTCATTACATTACATGTCACTTGTTAGACGCTTTTATCCAAAGTGACTTACATACTCAGTACTGTGGCCAATCCCCACAGGAGCAATTTGGGGTGAAGTGTCGCAGAGACACAATGACATGCTGACTGCAGTGGGACTCTAACTTGCAACCCCCTGATTCGAAGTTCAGCGCACCTTCCACTGAGCCACAGCCTCCCAAGTTCATCCTTCAAGCAATTACCCTCTGTACCATTTGGAGCTGGAGACAATGTGTTATGTTGCCAAGTGCGGTTTTAACTCAAAACCTCAATCTCCCTCGAAAAGCTCTTTGCGGGATAATTTCTACAAATTGTTTCCAAGCAAATAAAGGTCTTTGTGCTGCAGAAATGTCAATACGGATGCAATCATAAAGGATGCTTTTGTAAAGGATGCTACAATGAACTCAGAAAAAAAGGAAAAGCTTCCTCTAATAAAACCTAACACTTTTGGTCAATAACATTTTGGTGGTTTGTTTAAAAATCTGGGTCTCATTGAACATTTTGCTCGGTATGTTTCTTCTTTGAGAGAAACATTGTGTACAGGAATGGACCATAGAGTCTCTTTTGGATTAATGATTTGTTCACGTTCCTAAACCTGCAGGTCCGCTGCAACTCTGACTACTTTTAAATCCAGGCTGAAGACTTTTCTTTTTGTCGCTGCTTTTAATTGAACTATTCACATCTTAAACTGCACTGTAACTTTTATCCATGTACTTTTTCTTTTAGACCCCGGCCACACGAGGACGAAAACGGCTAAATGCATAGGATTAACGCAAACGCAATCGCAAACAAGCTTCCGTCCACACGCAATAGTTATCCGGATAGTAGGCTTGTTTGAGACGCGTTGCGGCTCGCCTCGAAAGTAGACGAGAATAGCCGATCGCAGCCGGGAGAGGTCTCAAAAAGCTCGCCTGAAGTCGGACAGCTCGGAGTCCATGCTCGGAGTCGGCTTCGTCTTCTTCTTCTTCTCTCGGTTTTTTGGCGGATTGCAAACAACTTTAAGGTGCATACCGCCACCTCCGGAGTCGGCTTGACTCGGTTTGCATTTATAAAGAATGCACACATGTGTTTAATCGTAAATGTCAGATATGTACTAAGTAAATACATTTGTTCCTGCTCCAGATTAGATTCAACTTTATTGTTGTTGCACATATTACAGGTACTGAGACAACGAAATGCAGTTTAGCTTCTAACCAGGTGCAACAAGCAGTAAAGTGAAAAGTAATGTACACAATCTACAGAATAACATATAGAATGAATTGAATGATGAATAAACAGTGAGGGGTATGAATACACTAGATATCAGCCTGAGAGCAGTATGAACAGTGTGTATGAATATGCTAAGATATATAAAGTATGAAACGTTAAGCAGTGCAAGTATAGTATAAAATATATGGATATTAATTTCATGATGATAAACATTGTGGAACAATGATGAAAAATGGGAATGGATGTGGCGACGTAAAACTGACACAAAACAACAACAAACTTTTGCCCAGCCAATTGGAGAGTTTAATCAGCAGCACGGGGTAAAAACCACCAATGAGCGCTCAGCTCGAGATACCAGCGAGCCGTTTCCCATCAAGCATTTCGCTTCCACAGCCCGTGGAGAGCAACTGCGCCAACTCGCCTCGCCTCGCTCTCAAGGCTGCGGGCGTCTTTGTCCCGCGAGATTTCAACGTCTCATGTGGGCGGGCCTCCAGAGCAAGTCGGACAAAATGACTAACCATCATGCAACGCACGAGCAAGACGTTGATCGAAATTGCGCAGGTCTGGGCAGGTCTCGCTTGTCTCAAACAAGCCTAGTGTCTGCCCACACGAGACCGCTCCGTTTAGCTCCAACCGCTGGAGAAGCTGCAGTACATATGCAGGAGCCTGTACGTGGCGCTGTAACTTCCTCCACAAAAGCAGCGAAGAAGCATGGTTGTCATGGTTGCCCTTCTGTTTATTCTCCGCGGTGGGGGCCGAGGGAACCGGCAGAGTTTTTCGCCAGTCAACGTGTATTAAAGTTGAAATCTTCCGACAAAATTATAAAAGTGCCGGTCAAAGGTCTTCTTTGTTATTTATTGAGCTTTAAAACAAATGAATAACGACTCTATATAATATAATAATAAAATACACGGAGCCTCTCTTTTTCCACCCTCTCTTTGGACAGCGTCAGTGTCTGTCTCATGCAGCAGCTGATCCAGTAATGAGTGACCCGGCCGACAGTAAAAATAAACATATTTATAACTAGTTTAGGTAGTTTGAGGTGTCTCCGTCCTGTCAGATTAGACTTCACTCGCGTTTATGTCCATATCGAGAGAAAGATAAATAATCTGAATTCAGTGTGCAGTTTACTTTAACGCGGGGGTGAGCAGCAGAGGTGGGGAGAGGCGGGGCTATTGCGCAATCATTATCAGAAAAATGATCGCTGAAGCTGCAGTCCATATCCACAAAAGCAGCGATTAAGATCCCCCCCGGATGTGTAAGTCTGCTGTAGATGTTGCACAAAGAACTGTAGCATGGTCAGTAGCGTCCGGAGCACGATAGCAACTCTGCGATCCGCCATTGTTGTTGTTGTTGTTGGTGGCGAAACACATCAGCAATGGCGCGGGTAAGCGGAGGTGAGCAGAAGAGGTGGGGAGAGGCGGGGCTATTGCTATTGCGCAATCACTATCAGAAAATGATCGTATAGGGCGCACACACGGAGCCGTTTGACCCCCCAGAGCGTTGCGTATGCCGTTCTATCCACCTTGGGACCCGTTATCGTTTCCTCAGTCGTTTAGTGCCGTATTCGGTCGTCCTCGTATGGCCGAATGGTCTATATATGACACTAAACAGTAACGCAAACGGCCGTTTTCGTCCTCGTGTGGCCGGGGCATTAATGTTTAATTGAACTATTTTTATTAGCTTTTCTTTTTAAATGACTGATTTTAACTTAATGTCTTTCATTTGTTGTAAAGCACTTTGAATTGCCTTGTGTTGAAAAGTGCTATATAAATAAACTTGCCTTGCCTTGCCTTAACCGGTTGCTCTATTTCAAAGCAATGTCTCCCGTAATTCCTGGATATATATACAAAAAAGATTAGCATGGAACTAGAAAAATAACATTGTACATTTTTGTTTTATTGCAAATAAGGCCATTTATTTAGGTGTAGGTGTTGTTAAGTTGTGTAATGTTGGATGGATCGTACATGTTTCAGTCAAATAAACACTTCTCTCAAGCAGAATGGGTTTCGCAGCTCGTTTTCCAATGTGACCTCCATAGCTTCCAGGAAAATCTCCACCTCAGAGACAACCACCCACATACAGCCATACCTCAACATCTCATTTGCACTTTATCATATCATGCCCACCACTCCCCCTCATATTCACAGCAACTGAAAAGCTATCACCTCAGAATACCCACAGAGACAACAA